CCAATGCATTTTACCCAGATGAGCGGGCGTAAAACATTTAGAGTTTCCTTAAGAAGGACAAACGACAATCATTTAAATGAATTTCTTAACATTTAGCTGTGGAGCACTTGTTATCCTCAATGTTTGGCTTCTTATTCCTGCAATCCATCTCCACATATTTCTGACCTCTGGCACAACAATAAGCCGGCATGCTTTTGAAAATGAACGTCTCTTTTGAAGATATGCTACAGATACAGTACAATGGCAAACACCCACTAAATGATTTAACGTTTCGAGCGCAACCAGCCTCCCAAAAAAACTGAACTCGAATGAATGTGACAGTCAGACAGGTCACATTATTATTCAGGAGCCAAACATCCTCCTTCACGCTGAGTTGTGGCACCGTTGCAAAAATATTCCCTTGGATAAATCTTTCATGACATAGGTATGCATCCAGAAAGCAAAGTGACACTGAAACACTACACATATGAGATGTGAATGCATATTCCAGTCTAACTTGACATCATCCTAATAATTCATTGGGCTGTGAGACACTTTTCAGAGATCAAGAAAATCCTCATAATCATCATTAGATGAATCCAAGCTGTTTTTATCAAGCTTGCGTGACAAACTTTCTTTAAAAATTTATTTAAAAAAAGAAGTTTTGATGGCTTTGATTGGAGGTCTTGAAGACAACATTGAGGTTTCCACCTTTTTTTTGCAATGATAAGTTTGTATCAGGTTTATTAGAACTACAAACATAACATTTAGTGTGATCATTTGGCATTTTTGAAACTCAGAATATTACTTCTAAACTGGAGGAAACTTTGGGCTCTATAATGAGTTGCTTTTATATTTCTTTGATCTTTTCTGCAGTTTGTTGCCTTTAATCTTTTTTTGTGGTCTGACTGAGGTGATCCAGGATCAGCTGAAGTGTGTCATGCTATTTGCAGAATATAAACAATATGTAAAGAAAAGCAACTTTTTCTTCTCATGAGTGAGAATGAGATGACTGCCGGATCAAATGAACTAAATGTGAATGAATGAAGGAATACTTTTTCACCCTCTTTTGTAAAACTTTTACCGGTAGGATTTAGCTTTGTCAAATAAGGACAAATAAAGTCAGCACTTTGCAAATGTATTACTGTGTCTCAGATCATAAACTAATATTCAAGACTGATATGAAGGAAAGGATCATTCAGATAATCAGCTGTACTGACTATTTGCTAAATCACTTTGCAAACCGATGGCTTCCAATCATAAATAAGCTCTTGTCCAACTTAAACTACGCTGAACTGGTCTGTAAAACAGGCACTCTGGGATCTATTTGCCAATCTTCTAAGATCTGCTTTAACATGTACCAGTTTCTTCCACCTGTCACAGAATGGATCAACTGGTTACCGTTTAGCAAGTATAACCGGAATTAAATGAATGAGGTAGGATTTAGTGCAGTCACTGACCTGTTGGATTTATGATAGTCAACTCAAACAAGAGAAATGACAGAGCTTCATTCAGTGTGTGCTAAGTTAATTAATCTGACATGACCAAAAAGCTACATTTATCATGCTTGGTGCTTTAGTTTGTGACAACGGTATAACAAAGGCGCAAAATTGAAACATAACCCTAACTTTCCTTTAGTTTAGGTCTTTACAAGATGACGACGGGGTTTAAATTCTCAAAGTGCCTCACTGTCAAAACTCGTATATTCTCAGTCATTTTCCATTATGACTTCAATACATTTTGAGCTGTAATCTAACCCACAAACTGGAGCTTTACTTTGTGGACTGTGTTTGAACTATTTGAAGGACACGCACAACCAACGGCTCCAGCTGATTGTTGGCCCTCATATTAACTATAAATATGTGACATCTGACAGAATAAACTGAGATAAGCTCCTGCAGCTTGACCCCAAACAGGACAAGCAGCACAACCTTAAAACGGATTGTTTCTCCTCTCAATATTAAACAGGCTGCAAAAAGAAAAAACACTCCTCCAGAAACAGAGGCGTTTGAATATCTTTGAGGTCCTGAGTCATGGAGGCTCACTCATGCTTTAAGCCTCCCTGAGATGGGAAACAAAAAGCATGGGCTTATCATGAACTTTGTAAGAGTGCAAGATTGCCAATGTTACTCGTTGAAGTTCCTCCAGTCAAAGAAGCTTGTAGCACAAGGGGCAGAGTAATGAAAATGGCCTCACAGTATACGCTATCTCAGTACTGAGGTTTTGCAGTTTTAAGTCAAAATGAAAGTGCCTTATGCAATATCATGAAATGCGTAAGAACGGTTTTCATGATCCGTTGCATCACACTCCTGTGAGTAAGTCGGATAAGGAAGCTGGCAATGACAGTTATGAGAGATTGCAGTCACTGCTGGGGATATATGACCTCCTTTTGGGGAATTTACAGCATAATGATACTCACTAGGTGCCAAGGCAGACAAATGGAACTATTTACGACTGACAATATCAAAAGATTTGGAGAAAAGTATTTTGAACCTGGGACCATGTTGGCTGCGTTCCGATTATGACTGTGAGGGGAAAAGTTTGTGTACCTGTGGTTTAGTGAACAGATCTCAAAGTAATGAATATTTGAGCCAAGACTATTTGTCCCATTCCTCACATGGTAGTCCGAAAGCATCTGTTTTAGATAATAACCTGTTGCAGCAACTCAGATCATATGGTGTATCTAATAATAATTTCTAATGAGCCAAAAATGTTGAAAAAATTGCTTATTTAAAAAAAAAAAATCCAATTGTGTATTCGTGCCTCTGGAATTCTTTTTTGGAATTAATTTTTTCTCGTTTTTAACCACAGAATTGGTTTTCAAACTATGTCAAGGCACTTCAAATATGCATATTGATGGGTTGTTGTCAAAAAAAGTGTTTCTGAGCACTTAGTATAGGAGCTAAACTGTCGGCCTTCAGGTTCCGTCTTTTTTGCTGCTTCATGCTGCATGTGACATCACTGGCAAATCTGCAAATCGCAACCTGTTGCATTTCTGATACGCCGTGGAAATCTCGTTGACAGCTCTCCTTCTGCTTCATTAAAACGTCTGTGCAGCTCCAATAGTTCATCATGCAACAACAAAGTTTCCCTGTGGATACAACAGTATAATTAAGTAACATACATTTAAATTAAATTCTAAGAGGCTGTTTCAAATGGAAGTCATTGTCAGATGGAGATGAAGGATTTGAAAAATAGAGATGAATGTGTTTTCTGTCTTCTTAGAATATTTACATGTCTATAATCAAAGTCCACTCGTGTGTAACAGGCTGGTACCGCTTAGAAAACAACTACTATTCTATAGAAACAATTAACAGTAAGGTATTTACAACTAAATGCAGATCACTGTCTTTATATGATATCATTTAATGAAAAAAAATATCACCAATTGTCAGTGTGAGTGAGATAATGATAATACACTTGTCCAGGCGAGGATAGGTCAGCCACAGGTTTGGGGTGAACATAATTTAGAGTAGTGTGCCCTCTGGTGGATAATAAGGTGAACAAACATTTTAGCTTTCATGATAGAAGACGAACATTTGTTTTCAGGAAAGATCGCCCTAGAAAACACATTTCACCAACAGCGAAGCCACGCTTTGAAACTCCTCACCACGTCAGTACAGAAAATCTAAGAATGCTTAGAGTGTCTATGTGCAAGTTAGTGGTACTACATATGGTGATATTTTACTCATTTATTCTTTTGCAAGTAAACAATATTTCTGACTATCGCGACTGTTGCTGATTCAGGAGTTAAAAAAGGTGGGCTCGTCCGGGATTTGAACCCGGGACCTCTCGCACCCTAAGCGAGAATCATACCCCTAGACCAACGAGCCACGTGACAGTCATTTCAACACGACGAGAATCGACACAGATAGAGCAAACGGAAAGGAAAAAGGAGGGGAAATAGAAATTTTTTAAGAGATTCTAACTAGTTCAAACTTAATATCAATCCTTTTCTGAGAGGTAAAGCTCGATCGGAAATATTTTGGGGACGTCAATACAAAATACCTGTTGTAACGTCATCTTATTCTCGCGAGAGGTCGACAGTTTCAAGGAAACTAAGAAAAGACCAAAGGCCACTTCTCTGACCCTTAGTTTAAAAAGTATTCAATAACCGCTTCTGCACATCCAATTTAATGAAAATGTTACAACTTCAATGTAAAATTATAATGTGTTTTACACATACATATATTACATATAAGATTAAATTGATTTTATAGAAATTATAGTTTAGTATCTTTGAGATGGGGTAAGATTATTACGGGTTATTAAGATTTATTATTGGTTTCACTTTCATCAGTCTTTTGCTATACACATACACAAACAAACGTGTAACTTGATTTTATATATAATCAAGTTATAGTTCATGTATTTTTTTATGCTTTCATCATAACCATTTCTCTGCATTATTTGTGTTAAGGATCAGCACAAACATGTGCAACAAAGGTTAAATACATTAATTGTTAAGGTTGAATCCATTATCTAATCCATTACATACACTTTATTGTTGGCTTTATAGATTGAATCTTCAAATACAGAAAATGAATGTGTTCAAAAAGATTGATGATTATGTACAACATGTGTGATGACCATAAATCAGGGGAGATAGAAAAGAGGTCACAGATATCATTCATACTGAACCATGGAGCAAGTAAGTGACACTTTGTCATCATCATTATCATCATCATTATTTTCATTGTTATCTTTTTTCCACATAATGTTTACTAATCTATTGGCGTAATTTATAGTGGACAAAAAAAAGAGCATAAAGTACATCCCAAAATGTTTTAACCTAACTAATAATCAGCAACAACCAACAGATAATAAAAAAAAGCCCAATAATCAGATTTTTATGTAACTACTATCCAAAAGCAAGTTATTGTCCTCGGAACCATGAGACCCTCTGGGTTTTGTTGCTGGATGATAAAAAGAGCTTTGTTGCATCCATGGATTCCTTATAAAAAGAGATGTGTATATGGTGCCCTCTGATGATGAGTCTGAGCATTTAGCAGATGGCAGCCTCAGTCCAGACACCCAAAGCAGGATGGGTTGGCACATATTTCACAAGGATCTGAAGACTTGATGATGTTCACTGGAAATTATAGAAAAAAAAACAGAAATATTTGTCTTAATTTTGCATATAGTTTAACCTGAAAAAAGTAATCTATTCATTTTTATGAAATACAGTATTACTAACGCTAAGAATGAACCACTTATGTCTCAGTGTAAAGACAACTGTGCTGTGTGAGACTGATTAGTTTTTAGTGGCTCTTAAACACTATTTGCTCAGCTTTTCATGGGCCTCTCATCTGTCATTGTCATCCTAGAACCGCTTTATTATGGAGGATGTTTGAGAAACGGTTTGAGTAAATAGTGGACTCTGAATCTATTTAAGCAAACCAACAGTTGTTTCAGTTCAAATCCTTGAGAAAGTGTGGCTGAATGATAAATTTCAAGATTAAATAGTTACGTTAACAAGCTCTGTGAGGCTGTTTTCTGTACGCATATGTTACAAAAACGCTCACATAGACACTGTTGCTGAATGAAAACGTGGTTGAGGAGGTCAGTTCATAAGGTAACTCTGACCTTCTGGGTAATACATTTATTCATTTTTTTTTCTGAGACCTAGAGGGGTAGATTGCTGCAGTCAGTCAGCTTAGAAAGCAGAGAGTACAGGTGGTGGATATAACAGAATATTCTAGTCTGTGCTCATCTAACCATCAATTTTTTCAGGTTGTTCAGATAATGTTTCCTGTATTGTTTATCACAGACATTGAACCGCAGGATGGTTCTGATGTATTGTGTTTATAGGGTGGGCTCCTCATCATAAAACAGAACACTTTCACTGAGCGATGAATTACATAACCTCTTTTAGCATGTACATGTACACCAAGGTGTTACCATTTGGTTTAGTTCTCAAAGCATAGATACTAAAGCCCTCTAACCATTTCATTTAATCATATTATGTCAGGGACATTATTCCCAATAACATAACTCATGTATCTACTTTGCTGCACATATAAGGAGAAATACTATGTTTTTTAAAAATACAAATGCATGATGGTACATATTTGCTTGTAAGTGTCTATCATAGCTACACCACCTTTCATGGTAGCTTTAATGACCATAGAGTAAAAGATACATTTCTAACCCTGCTATATGTATAGATATATTACTCCCTGCATTAATGGGGATATCTGACTTTTTTCTACCTTTGTTTACTTTCTTAACTAATTTCTCAGCCAGATGTCGCTTCGCGCTATCAGTAACAACTGACCTGATATGTTTGTCCTCCTCTCCACATGCCTACAGCCTAAGTACTCTCTTGGATTTTTCGCATTCTGGCCTGTTTTGGTGTCCTAACTTTTTGCCTTCTCTGTGGATGGAGACTTTGCGTTGCAAACCGATCTTTGCTCTGTTTTGAATACTTTCTATCTGTTTGAATTTCGTTTTTAAGTCAGTTTTTCATTGCCTCTCTGTCACTTCCTGGTCTTGACTGATCGGTCGCTGACTATTGCGTGCACGGTTTATGTCAAATCAGCCCAGGAAATTTACAATCCGAGTTGAGCAATGCATTTCCCTATCAGCATCGGTTAATCACAGCTAAGAAGGACATCATGTTGCTTTTTGTTGTACATTAAATCTTATTCTAGTGAGCTATTCACAAAACAAAATGGACTTGCCCTTAGGACAGCTGAGGAAATTACTATTAGCAAATCGTTTTTCACCAAACAAGATATTACAAGTTTGTAACATCCATATCCTTTTTGCCATTTTTGCTATTTTTTCACTCTTGCATTTATTGTGAAGCCATAAAAATTGTTTAAAGAGAAGAGTGATATGTATTTGAACCTTTTTAAGGCATTCTGATTCATTCTTACCCAGTTTTAGGAAAACAACTCTTGCTCCCCTCCCTTGACACACTGGCTGAAAGACTTGAGGCAGGAGAGGGTGGGCACACACTGCTGCAGAGCTTTTTTGTGCAAGGTGAGGGTTCACGTTGTCGTTTAAATCCATCAGATCCTTCAGCTGCTTCACTGCCTCTAAGGGAAAGATCATGTCTCCAACCTGCAGGCGAGGGATCAAGAATGAAAAGAAGAACTTAAGGCCGGATAAAAGTGGCACCATCAAAAGCTACAAACATGCAGACACCTTAACGGCTGTATAATCACACTAATTTGGATGAGAATTGTGGAGGGCCTCAGTCATTTACATGAATATTTATGCATTTAGCAGACACTTTCATCCAAAGCGACGAACGAAAATAGGCTTTAACATTCAACTGCACCAGTTACACACTTACCTCACCTTGAGTGCAATATGCTAGAAGTGGATTTAACATTCAACTATGCCATAGACTACACCAGTACCATACATTGAGTGCTACATGCTATGATGAAAGCTGTCATAGAGGTTTCAAGGTTTTCCAGGACAGGGTGCAATAAAATTGATTGAATAATCACATCCAATTTTAGAATGATGTGATCACTTACCTTGACCTGTACGCTCAGAGCTCCACTGCACACACACAGCACCAACACAAGGACACGACTCAACCCTCTCATTTTCAAATCGATCAGACACCTTTCCGTTCAGAGGAGTCTTTCTTCTGTGCTGGCTGTAGCCGTGCACCGCCTCATTATAAAGTCTCAGGGCAGATTAGTCAGTCATTTATTAACAAAGACAAGTGGTCACTGTTCATAGAGACACTAAAGATACTCCGACTGCTCATTGGTATATAAAGCAGTTTGAACACACAGAATTGCGTACATATTTCAGATCCTCTTTTTTGCTTTATAGACTATAGACTATATAGACTGTGATTTTTTTATAACTCCATTCTTTGCTCTTTTTTTATGTCACTCTAATATTTTATTATTGACTTTGGGTTCAGACTCACGCAACACATGCCTAAATGCTACCTAATAAATCTCCTCCCAAGACTTATTTCACTGATATTCGTCACAGAGCTGGCAGATGACGCGGTGTATAAATACATACTGCGCAGATCCGGGTCAGACGTGGGTTGTCTGTTTCACTAATTGCTATGATATTTACAAATGATGATAGTTCCCAGGCGGTTTTTTTTTCTCTGCTTGTGTCTACACCATAAAATATAAGTTCATTCAGGCTAAAAGGATTTAAAACCGGGCCCTTGTCATCTGAATTGACATTTGAAAAACATAATTACCCATTTCTGAGTGAAACGGGGAAAAGAAAAAACTTAATGTGTTCAGCAGTTTGAGATTTAATGGCGACCTCTTGGCATTGCAGAATAATAAAAGCAAGCAGTGTCATTGAGCTGTGTCTCCATGAACATAGCTTGATAACCTCTTTAGTTCCACCCATAGCACTGATTAGTTAGCTTTGGTGCTTTTGATACGCCCGGATGACCAGTCTGTTTTCAACTGAGATACTTTAGCCTTATGCCACAGGGACAAATTTATCAGTTAAATCGAAGCATTGCACAGATTTAAAGGTCTACATTGAAACAACTGAGATATTGAGAAATTTACTGTAAGAAAATTATGACATTTTTAAAAAAACTGAAAGAAATCACACTGATGAGGGAGAGAGTTACCACACTTTGCCATACATTTTATATTGTGGCGGTGTTTGGCACTGTCACAGTTAGACTGTGTAGACTAAAGGATGAAATGTACTATTGGTGGGGATCGTTTCACACTTGTTGTACTACTTTGCTGCCACTTAGGGGCAGTGCAGTAAACGTGTGGAATAATCTGAGTTGTGGGCTGCTCTTTGTTGTGTTATCGCTGCTGTTAGTCCTTTCGCTTAAAGTAACAAGTGAAACTCAACAAATAACTGTTTAGCCTAACTCCAGAGACTGCATTAAAACTAATGACAGTTTCCACCATCTCTTTTGCAAACTGATCACAGAGCCTTCCATAGAAATAGACAGATTAGTTTACTCTATTTGTGGAGCAATAAAGTTCCGTGTGTTTTCTTTAAATGATTCACCCAGACTTTAGTCTGCCTGTAGATTTTTCCACAGTGTCTCAACAATTTTTCCTTCTTCAAGTATTGTAGTATGGTCTTGGAACCACCTTTAAAATGGAGTTACAGGACGCACATTAGGCTGCTCGGTAATTACTGTGGAGAGAACCGAAGGTTTCTTGTTATTACTGCAAATTTTCTTTTGTTTTTCCCAAGTGTGGACATATTAAGGGATTTAGGAAATGTTTAGGAGTAACAATGATGAATGAGGCTGAAAGGGTGTGTTTTTTCTGTGTTCCTATATATTGTTGGTGGTCTGCATTTCAAATAAAGACTAAAGACATTTTTCTGGTATGGTAGGATGTGAGCTGGGGTAATTAGCAGTCCATCCACATAAACTGCAAGTTCTCAGAAAAAGGTTCTGAGTCTTCATTACTGTGTCTGAGTTTGGAGTTGTTGTCTCCTTATTCCAAATGAACATGAATCAAAATATTTTGAGTGTCTTTCTCTGGCTTATTAGCCTTTTAAAAAATAAATCTAGTTTCTTAAGTTAGCAATTTCTGGTACAAGTAACAAACCCCCTTATAGAAGAGCCTGAATCAAAATTGGACCCATGGACACCTCATTGTTCTCTCAATCATGTGCCCAAAGGCAACAAAGCTGTGAGTGTATTTTAGTTGTTAGGGCCAGCTGGCATGCTGAGCATCACTTGCACTTTGCACTGACAGTTTATTTACATCCAATGAGGTGGTTGACTGACCTCTAAAGGATTAATTATTCACAGTAGGAGGTTTGAGAATATACTGTGAGGCAGATGAGAGCTGAGTTATTAATGCGGTGCCCATTTGAGCCCCGATCAGAACGTTATCGTATAGGAGCCGATGCATGCTCAGTGAACCATCCTCACCGGAGTTAAAGGTCAGAAAAGGGTTGCATCTAATGCCTGTTCGAGTGTCTTCAAGGTGTTTTGCACTAAACAAAATAGAAAATAGAAATACTTCATAGAAGCCTTTGGATAAAAAGTTAAAAAAAGTAAGTATCTATCTCATAAAGATGATCCAGTATTTCGTGGTTTATGACCTACATCAGGTATTTTTTTTAGCCTGTGATGTGTCAAAATCTACATTTATTCATGTTATTTTCATCATTTTATAATGTCTTTACCCATAACTTGCAAAGACAAATGACTCTCCTTAACTTTATGACTCTTTTAACGAACACTCTTTCTGCCATTGCCAAAGTGATGGTGCAAATACAATCCTTTGGAAAGAGCACAATACACTCACGATGTATGAATGAAGGCTTTTTATTCAAAATATTAATGATAAAAAAGAAGAAAATGAAGAAAGAACACATATCTTTAAATATATAAAGCAAGATAGGAGAAATGTAACAAACCATGTAAAATCCAAACATAATATATATGCTAAAGAGCAGGCTGTGAAGAAATAAAAAGTTATGATGCATAAAAGTAACAGTTTGCAAAATGCTCCTTAGTCGGATTCTATTTTTTCTTTTGGGGCCATTTCGGTTTTTCAAATAATTCAGAAATTAAGTTGTCTGATACACAGTAGTCAGACCTTCAGGGACAAACAGTTTGTTTGTCCCTAAAAAAATTTGGAGTTAAAAAAAAAAAGAAATCTTAGAAATTCCCTGAAAAATAGTTGATGGTGATGAAAAACAAAAGAATCATTCGTTTTAAGCGTGGTCAGACATGTAGGCATGCGGTGAGCATTTAGCAACCGGTGCAGGCAGCAAAAGCGCAGATCTCACAGACGTCCAAGGGAACAGCAGCTGAAACAAAGACCCAAAACAAACAGGTTAGCTCAGCTAAATGGTCATAATCAAGACCCGACAACTTCACACATAAATTCCGAATGTGCTCTTTATTTAAAACAGCCTCACCTAATCTAATGAGGGATGCAGAGGCTCCTCTCTGCTTGCAGAGAGGCAGGAACTCCTGCGGGAGCATGGGCTCAGCACAGAGGGACACGGTGCTGGCCTTGAGTCGAGGGCTACTGAGTTGTCCTGCCATGGCTCTGGCCTCCGTCAGCTCCTGAAGTCTTTTGACCGCTTCCAGGGAAAAGGAGAGTCCATTTTCCTACAGCAGAAAAGATGAAGATTTATTGCCAGCGAACACATCACAGAGAACAGCGTTTGTATTCATGAAGCGTCAGCTCCAGGCTGGGAGTTCCATCGAGTACACAACAGACATGCTAAAATCTGAACTCTGGCCAAAAGAGAGACTTACCTCAACTTGCACAGCCTCAGAGGTCCAGCCTAGAGCGAGGACGAGGAGAGCAATGGTGGCAAGTGTGGCCTTCATGTTGGCAGTTGACAGATGTTGTCTCGTAGTTTCTTCTTGAAGTGGTTGTGCTCAGCGAGAGGCTCAGCTCAGTGTGTCTGCTTTCCATGCCTCCACCGCCCTCCTTTTAAACAGTCCAGCACCCCGGCGGTCACATGACCAGAACTGCTACAAATGGGTGCAAAGTTTTTCTCACGGGTTAATAAGTAATAAGAGTTTTTTTTTATAAGCTTATAAAGGGATTCATAAATCTTACTTTGACATCATCGTTTGTGATTATTTTTATGGATCTGATGCTTGCTGGTCTGCTCCATGTGGAGAAGGTCTCACCTCGGGTGGGTTAAAGAGTTACCGCTGATGATCACAAAGCCATACCGGCGCACTGTACCAGAGTCTGTCTAATCACACCTGCAGTTGCTGTTGTGCATTTCAGAAAATTACGACCTGAATGAAATGACAATTTCTAAAAGTAAACAGAAAATACATGTACAGAAAATATACATGTAACAAAGCACAATAGTCACTTGCCTTGCACACGGTTGACTATGACAAGGTCCAAGCCCACCGTCTAATGTATGTGCTAGTATTGTTTTATTCCATATCAGACGTGTGCAATCTTCCCATTATCCTGTGGTACAAACTATAAACCTTGCCGAATGAGGCATTTATTGATCGCTGTTTTGTGCCCAGAGAGTATACAAATACCCAGTTCATTTGACGTATTTCACCTTTTATCTTTAGTCAGATCGGAATTTGCTCTCAGAGAATATTTTTAATGTTTAATTTGGTGGACCTTGAAGGCTTTTGGGCCAAAGTGTGCAATGGCTATGCAGAACAGAAGCTGTAAAAGCTTTCAGGCTATGGACATCTGGGGGCAAACTCAAAGGAAAAGAAGGTTCTGGATCATTGCACATACTCTCATGTATTTCCCTGTGGGCTGCGACTTTTCTTTATTAATGGTCAGCAGCATTTTTGCATACAGATTATAAAACAATAGCATAACTGTTACATATCTAAAGAAGAGCGAGGGCTAAAAATAGGAAAAAGAGCTATTGTTTTAAGATAGGTGTGGAGCCAGATCTTCATGCACACATACGTGTGGAAGCTAACTGACTCATCGGGTAATGAGCTCATAATCTGCAATTTTCACACAAAGCATGAAGGATATTCATCAATCAGTTCTAATATGATCACCACCTGCCTATTATTCCCTTCTCATACTGCCAGAGCAGCACTAGTCTGTCAGGTTGTGGACAAAAAACAACTTCAGGATGTCCTGAAGAGCTTCGATCTAGGACCTAAGCTTTAAATCATTTAGGTTTGAAGGCCAGACGTATATTTGACTCATTTTCTCTGAGTCCTCACTGCTATTGGGGTAATAACTGTAGGATTGTAAGGGGGCTATGAATGGTCTATAGACAAATTTATATCAGAGGCAGGAGTGGGAAGGCAAATTGTGTTTCTGTCAGAGGGTGGAAAAGATTAGAACGGAAAAGATAAATTCCTTATTAATCCACCATTGGGGAAACTTCAAATAGTCAAATAACTATTTGCAATGATTTCATATCAAAACAAAATAAAAAAAACAATTAAATAAATGACTAGATAAATAATAATCATAGCTGGAAAACTGCTCAAACTGACTATTAAAAGCCTCATGCTTGTTGGAAGAAAGCACCTACACTTTTCACTTCAACAAATGACATAAAAAAATATGGTTATTCTATGAGACATTTTTTTGTGGTTCAGGCTGGTGGCTTTAGACTTATGTGGAAAGACTTAATGCCAAACCTAAACTAATTTGCTGAAGTCCTCATTTTTCCACAGAAGACGACCTGCAAAAGTCTCAAAACTCCATGCAGTGACACGTGACATGGACTTTCATGTGAAAAATAGACTTTTATCTTCTTCTAAGGCCTGTGTGACAATCTGCTGATGTTTCAGGGCAAAGTTATGCATTAAAAAAAAACATTTCTCAAGAGTTCAGGTTTCCCAGCCGTCTAATTTGCATCTGCGACTACACGCCTTTGTGCATCTGATGTGTCTGATGAGTCATATTTCTTTTATTTATAATCACAATTACGCTGAGTGGGGCTTTATCTCATGCTGCGCTGGCGGCTCTAAAACGTCGGTCTTCATACTTTATTGAGTTGGTTTATCTCTGCTGCGCACTTACCATTCATTTTAAATGTCATTCATGCTAGTTTATAGGGCTTTTATGTGTTAGCACAGTTCACACCGTTCACAACACTCATCCTGTCATTAACTAGCGACTCAGGATATGTCAGTTGACTTTTCCCACTGCAATGAGGCTTCTGAAAAAGATGCTCAAGTAACACAACAAATTTCTGTGATGACTCATCTTATGCTTGCATTATTCATCTCGAGGTTCTATTGTATATAATAAAGCATGGAGGCTAGATTACACTAGGGTAGATAGACTTCCGTAGAGGGAAAGTCCCCCTGAGCTGCTTGACAACTTTTTTTTTTTTTTAGAAATAACAGCTTTATTCATGTGTGAGTGCTTCTCGGGTGTGATGACCCGCTCTGAATATTTGATCTTTGTGATGATATGAATGAATACATTTATTTTCCAGTTCGTCATCCAACTGGTTAGGGCAAGACTTTAATGAACCAAAACCAATAATTCTGTACATTGCCTGAAGCTAGCCCATTATCAATGTAAATTGTGGTGGGAGTTTCGAGTCAAGTCCCAAAAAGCACTTCCCAGATGGCTCCGCCAAACAAACACTCTTTTGAGATGGTTTACTGTGAAATCTCCTGGAGCACTAAAAAGTTGCTATCCTTTTGTTTCTTTGCCGTAAGGTATATATGAGCACATGGTGCCTTGATCAAAACACCAATGTCAGCTGTCATTATTTCAATGAAGTATGATAAATGACTTTCATTAATTTAGATAAACAGGGCCCAAAAAAGGGCTTGAGCCTAAGCCCGTAGCTATTTGTTCCACAGTTCATTTCACCCACACAACCAAGTGGGTTTCCATCAGATGGATTTCTGTCCAAAAAACAAAAAACAAAAAACAAAAAAAAACACCTGAAGGGTGAATGTGTGGTTGTTTGTTTCACCTCTGTGACTAAGTATGCCTCCCACTCAGTGCGAGACGGGATGGGCTCCCACACCCCGTGAGGCTTTCCCTAATGAGTGGGTAAGGACTGATTACTAATGGAGGCCAAAGTAATTCCAGCCTCTTCCTTTAAAGCCTTTTTCTTACTCATCAGCGGTTGACTGCATTATGCTACTCATACAGACAGGTAGGAGTGGAGCGGTACAGGGGTCTAAGATTGAACTGTTAATCAATAATCCTCATGTCAGCCAATCAGTTTTGTAATCAGAACAATAAGCTTCAATGAAGGCGAGAATTCAGTCTGGCGGAAATGTGTGGGCAGAGCAGACATGACACGGCTCACAGAGAAAAGTACCAGGATAATGTTCTAAAGTCCACTAAATTATCATTCTAAAACTTCCTTTGCATGGTGTAATATGACATACAGATGGTAGATTTGACGTGGTCTATCCTTTAACTGTCTTCTGTGACCTGTGTTGTTGTGGTCAAAACACAAAGCCTAACCATGCTGATTCGGCGCATGGGTGCAGCTTTAAAAGTGACTGACACTTGATTGTTTTCTGTGGTTTCTATATTAAACAAGTTCCAAGCCACGGGAAAGGGGCATCATTCTCACAGATGAGACGAACGGAAGTGAGTCATCAGTTTGAGCGTGAATAGAATATTTGTGAGTATTTACCTGACTGACTTTTAAGAGAGACATCCTAATGTCAAAAAGCCTGTGACTTCCATATTTGTCCTGCTTCTCGAAGCTGTTAAGATGCTGAAAATTAGCAAATGAACATTTTCTGTTTTTTTCCTAATAAACCAATATCTACAGGCCACAGTGTTCGACTACAGAAATAGGTTTAACAGTTTGAGCTGAGAAGTTCAAGTTTTATCAGTGAGTCACATGTCAAATACTGTGTTGCATTAAATGAGTCTCCAAGCTTGTCTGAGAGGCTCATGACAACACTCACAAACAAAGTTGGTGTTCTGTGTTTACCACTAATGTTTTCTGTATTCATTTGTAATCACCCACCCTCTTTTTTTCACAAACCGCGTTGCAAATGGAGAAAGCAAGTCCCAAGTTCAGTTCCCAAACAGATAAAACCCAGACATTCATTGAAGCGCACTTTGAACAGTGTGCTATGCATGTTATTGTATTGTCAGGACAAAGTTTTTCTGATATGTGTCTGTGGTGTTTATTTTTTCTCTTTTTGTGCCGTTCTGCTAATAAGTTAATGCGATTCATATGGGTAGACTCCAGAGTTACCTTTTGAATATTTACGTAAAGTGAAGTGCAATTGAACAATTAGCCGGATCAGATTCCACACATGTGATGTGTGGAGTTGTGTTGCTGTTGCTGCACAGATTAAAAGCGAAGTGATGCAAGGTGAATGTGATTGGAATTATATTAGATGGATCAGGTTTTATTCAAATTAGATACTTGATTTTAACAACAAATATGTGATGCAACTATGCAAATTTGACCAAACACCCATATTAGATTTTATTATTTTGCCTTTTAATTAGCACCGATTAACTCACTGGGAGCATATAACGAATACATACATGACCAGTCTATCAAAGAGGAACTTTATGCCCACTCACATAAAAAGTTTAAACAGGACAGCAACACCTCAATCAATTTAATCATTAGATGCACTCAAATGATTGTTATTATATTTTTGGTCTAACATCTTCTTTTAAAAAACTTTCTTCTACTTCTTCTTTCCGATTTGGTTTCATTCCATAAAGAACTTTGCCTTTTGCTTGAGAATCCTGAAAATGTGATTCATTGCTTTAATCTCTGTTCAAATCTTCCAAGTTTCAGAGCACCGCTTTTTGAACGGAAGAAATTAGCTTCTGTGCTCAAGGAGCTCCTTTAGCTTCTTTAAAGATTTCTACTCCAAACTGTTCTTTCATCTCAGGAGCACTTTTATAGGTTAAGATGCTTTATAAACAGCTTTCATCTTTACACAGGTGTTCTGTATTATTTTCACGACCAAAGCCCAAAACTCAAGAGGACTTTTCTTAGAATTTCAT